TTGGAATCATTCTCGATAATTGGTTTGTGCTAACGGCTTCAATACGCAACAGGGGGGGACCTTCACGAAAAATCTTTGTAGGGAAAAAAGAAATTTTCGGTATGAAATTTGTTGAAAAAAGACATAAGTTTGAATATGTGAAGCGTCGATAGTTAGATTGCGGATGCTTTTCTGCTTTCTAAGCACTGGACACTGCTTGAAGACTGAAATCAGCTAAGCGTTTTACAAAAAAGATATGAAAGCTTAACGCTTTCACTTTTTCGACATTGCTTTGACTGCAATACCTTGTGTGACGGTCACAAAGGAAGGGAAAACTTGGTGACAACCGCAGGTACTTTAGATCTTTTCCATGGATCGTGGAGATCCCTTACTCTTGACATAGCTTAGCATAGGTTAGTACCTTCCACTTTAATAAAATAAAAATAAATATATAAATACCTTTGTGCCTTGCTCTACGTAAGAGTTCAAACTTGTGCATAGTTGTTGAGAAGCCTGCCAGCAACTTTGCGAGATGGAAAACTTTTTTATGCAAAACTGTTGATATTTTTTTTATCACGTACATAAAATATATATACACACATACATCCAAATGCATACATATAAATATGTATATATGCATATATATTTATACATCTATGCATATATATGTATGCATTTATATGTGAATGCACATGTGTGTATGTATGTATGTATGTATGTATGTATGTATGTATGTATGAATGTATGTGTATATATTTATATCATACATGGTTTCTTCTCTATATAAGACGTTGTTCAATTGCATTCCGTGCTACGTTGTATGCTTGTACGGCATTCTGTTTGTGTGTGTATGTGCGTGTGTATGATTTTTTTTTTTTGCAAAACTTTTCACTTAAGCAATTCATGAGTGTTTCTTTTGTTTTGTAGGAGTTTCACTTGTATTGCATTTGCCGTTGTATGTATTTATGTTGATAGGATTCTTGGTGTATTAGTTTCTTAGATACGCATACAAACATATCTGCAATATTTCCAGGGTTTTCTCAAGTACTTTTATGCGGTTTGTTTTCAGAACAAACAATTGTTGTTTGATTTTTGTTTATGAGCGAGCATATCTTTAAGTAATACTTTTTTTCTCATTTATTTTCTTTCTTACTTTAGTTCTTTGTAAAGTTTAGAAATGTGTGCACTTCTTACGGTTCTATAAATTTCAAATGGGAAATTTTCGAAAAAACAAAAACAACTATTTTCTAGTTTGTCTCGTATTCGTGCGGTATTTCTTGGACTTTATTCATTTTATTATCACTATGATATTACTATTCTACATACTCTCTATACTACAAACAAACAAACAAACAAACGAACAAACAAACTAAAATATTGGTCAATAATACCGAGAAATGACATATAAATGTCGCATCTAATGAAAAATCTGCATTACTTTTCGAAAGCACTACTAACCCTCAAACGATTCGTGCCAAAATGTCATGTCATTTGTACCATTTGGGGAACGAGTGGCAGCGGTTTCAGCGATGCTAGTTTCGTTATTTTCAAAATAATAATAATAATAAACGAAATAAACGAATTTCTTATGTTAATTTTTACAACTTCGCTGCTCTTTGCCACTCATTGTAGAAACCTAACTCTAGTCACTGCTGTCGGCTGCTGCATGCTTTAGATTGGATTCACTGCCGCGAAATGTATAATTTATTTAATTTCAAAATAAAAATAAATAAATAAAAGTACTCGACTGCAGTAAAACAAAAACAAAAACGAAATATAAATATTTATTATTTCCCTTTCATGTGAATATTATTCAAGTAAAGAAAACTTTATTCTCCGTCTTGTTTAAGTTTTCTTTCCATTTTTATTCTATTCTTTCTTCTCCTTTCGTATCTCCCAAAAATTTCATTATTGCACCCTAGACTATTTCGAGCATAGGATGTGTTAAGTTTGCCCGGATGTATGCAATAAACAAAATATTAGATCCTTTTAACACGCTTTGGCCCACGCAGGAATACTATTGGATATGAATTGAATGCAAGTATTTTTGACGACCACTCGCCTCGTAAGGCGATTTTTCAAATTTCTCGAAATCGCAACCGTCACCAAATCGTTCAACAATAATACTTCAGGCATATTAAAACTATGGAACTAGTTGGTCGACATTTTGGACCCCCTTTCATATAACGCTTGCTACAAGAGGTAAACTTTGATGTCCAAACTGTGTAATTTTTAATATTTCTCTGACGACTGGTTCATAATATAATACTAGTCTGACATGAAAATCATTTACATCAAATTTGAATTTGACGTAGATCAATTTTTTCTACTCTATCCCGTATAAGGTTTCTCAGGAAAACTGTCTCCTTATGAATATTTGTCCGTAATAGCAATTAGAGGTAGGAATTAATTATGCCATGTTTGGACTACGTAGGCCTACTTTTCAGTCCATCTTCGCATAAACGTACTTAGGACAAGTAAGACTTTATGCGGCAACAAAGTTTGATTATTAGTGCTTTGTGATGAACAATAATAAAAACTTGAATTCCCTTTGCTAAGTTAAGAAAGCGTTAGTTGTATGTTTTGGACCTTTTCCCAAGTAAGCCCTCCCCCACAAGCCATATACGATCAGATGGTGTAATGTATTGTAATTCGGTAAAGACGAATGTGATGGCAACACTAGAATAATGATCTCTTGCTTTGTTTCCCCCTTGTTCGCACCATGCATCTGATCGCATGTGCGTCAGCACATTTGCTGTACCGATATTAATTTAGGATAAGAGAAGAATTCAACTTATTTAAAGCAATGAAATGTCACTGATGGAAACACGGTACAAAATTGTTGACATTTTGTCACAAAAATATATGAAAATTTATTTTAGACAATATGCTGTATGGTATTTAAAAGTCGATCTTGCCTGACTATACTGTTCTGACTTATTGTGTTCAGTTTCTCTTTTGCAATAACAGCTTTTAGTCATTATTGGCGTGATTGTCTTTATTCATAAAGCAAAAATTTGACATCATTTCACTTTCTGGGATAAGTCATGCAGAACCGAAACAGTTCTATTTAGAATTGAAAAACCTTACTATTACGGTCAGTTAAACTTTACTAATTATATGATAATGCATTTCTTTATTAAAATCTCTCTTAAGTATATATATGTGCATACTGCAAATTTAACTTAACGTCCTCTAGTCAGTGTCGTCGCTCAAGTGGTTTAAAAATCGGCGAAAAAGATGAAAAATCTTAGTTGATATAGTCTTTTCCACTCGTTTAACCCTTTATGGCCTTTTTATTGGGACGTTTACGTTTGCTTAAGTTGAAGTAGAAAATTGCATACTTTTCGGAGCTAAAAAAAAAAAAACTAAATCAAAAAGTTTGACATATGCATACGGTTTTTTTTTTATAACATTCAGGGGATGTCACCTGCAAGCGTAATTCGCATGAGTAGCCGTGTGACTAACAGTCACGACTGCCAAGTCAGTGTTCGCGGATGCAAATCTCAAGTATGGTAAAGTTTGCTTTGGTCATGGCCATTGTGAATGAGTGGTCGGCGAACGCCTAACACTAGTCGATGGGGCACAAACCCCCCGGGTTGCGACCACCTTTTCTCCTATGTCTTTCTCTTTCCTTATTTCTTACTAATCGTCACTGCGTTATACAAATCACTCAGTTCGTATTCCTCTGTTCATATTCGTCAATTCATGTTCCTGATGGTCATATAAAAAAAAAAAAATAGACGAGGCGTGAAAAGAGAGATTTTTTGTTTAAAAAGCTTAAAAAAAGCTTTACACCGAATGAAAAGATTTCTGTGAAACTGGTTCTTCTCCGACTTGCCGTAATGGCCGGTCAAACAGAATTTTAAATTCATCAGATATATAGTCAATTAAGCAAGAACTTCCTCTTGACTGGGGTCTATGCTCCATTAGGTTTCTATCGGTCGGGAAAGGTAAGGAATTTTTTCTTTGCTTTTTAAACGTTAGCATAGGCCTTGGAATATAGAAAGAATCGGTCTGCTACAATATGCAAAAATTTTTCTCTCTTTTACTTAGTAATGAAATGTTTACAGAAAATTTTATATTCATAAACTTTAATTTGCAATACTTAGCAACAGTCTGAATTCAAGCAAAAAAAAAAAAGAAAAAAGGCTTGAATTAATTTCAATTCGGTCACTGGGTTAAATGTATTAAAAAAGTTAACTGTAATAACATTTATGGCGGGGGACATTAATATGAAATATTGAAGTATTTGTTCTCACATTTTTTTTTTTTTTTTCGAAGGAAACTAATGCATGCAATATATAAACATTTTTTTCAGGATTATTTTTGCTATCGAAAGGAATTCATTAAAGGGGATTATTTTTAATCGAAGCTAATTAAAATTTTTTATAGCTTAAAAATGAATATACATATATACATAACTATAATGGAAAACTTTAATATAAAAAATCAAAAAAAGCAAAAAAAAAAAAAAAAAAAAAGTTTATACTTTTTGTAACGTTTTATGTTATTTGTTGGGGATTTATGAGTAATTAAAAGGGATTTTTCACTAAATATGTATATAGACTGGCTTTTTTATATTTTTTAGTTATAATTTTTAAATTTCTTCTTTGTTGATTAAATATTTATAATTTCATTTTTTCTATACCCTACACCACTTGCCGTACAAGTATGTATTCAATTTGAGCGGATGTATGTAACATCTGGAAGAAGGGACGGATTGCACATAGATCCATCTCTTATTAGATTGATCGATTCAGAAAGTGATTCGAAATCTTTGTCTGTCCGTGGGCCCATTTTATTTATATATATTTTTTTTTTTTTTTACCTATAGACTACAATTCTGATGAAATTTCGTACACAGATAATTGTTCAAATCGGACCCAGTTTTTTGACCGGAAAACCGTTATATAAGCAAGTGTAAAGTGATGTAGGGCATTTAATGGTAGGCCATTTCCTACTATAGCGTTTTGATTTTTTAGCTTTTTTTTGGTTTCTCTTTCGAATTTTCGTATTACCTTAAAGTTAAAACAGTTGAGACAGCGTGATACATTTGATTTGAACGTTGTGGACTAATTTTCAAATCGATGATAAAAAAAAAAATATAAATAAATTTTGAATAAAAAGCAAAAATTTTTATCAATTCTTTTACGAATTCTTCTCGGATTCAGCATAAAGCTTAATGTAATAAATAATTAAATTATAATGCAATGGAAAAAAAAAAAAAAAACTGTTGGAGTTATTTCGAAAATAAAAATCTTTTCAGCGTATCTCAATGATATTTATTTTAATCAATGAAATTCAGTGACATATTTAATTTATTTCAGCGGAATTCAACAGAATTTAATTCAATTGGATTGGTTTCATTTTAATTGAATTCCATTTAGTTACGTTCTTGATTCAGTTTAATTCAATTCTATTTATAGTAAAATTCAATTCGATATATTTAAATTAATATAAGTTTACACACATCTCCCAGGGTATGTTTGCATTTCAGTTACTTTTTTTACGGATATATTGTAGAGTTTCAGAAATTCATTGCATATAGTAAGGCGCTTATAAATTAATATGTTTTGCTCGTCGTCTACGATACTCTTTTAGAAAACCTTAGGGTTTTAGCGTGCATCTGGGCCATGTCTACTGTAACGACAGATGCAGGCAATGATCAGAAAAGGTCTTCTTCTGCTATCTGGGCGGCGCTTTACTCTTTCCCAAGACATTTCAAAGGGAACATTGATGAAGAAAATATGATTAGTGAAATATCTTACTTAATATTTACGCGGCAATTATGTCCCCTTCAATGACTGGCTACAAAAATTCATGTCCAACTTCAACCCTGAGTTCCACATAAACCCATTGGGGGCAAGAAAAGAAGAATCATTTGCGGCAGTAAACGTTTCTTTATTTAATCGTTCAGAAAGTTTATTATAAGACAGAAAACTGAATGAATGGCTAAAAGCGACATTGACTAAAGACTAACAATTAGAAATATGTATAGAAATATGTCTTTTATTGGTGAATTTATGAGAAAAGGTAGACAATCGTGGCAGGCCTTTATGTATCGTTAGATGACAATACGTGATACGTCATCAATAATTTTTTTTTCATATTATCGATCACTCAGGAAATATTCGCTATTCGTGCACCGGAGGGACGATCAAAATAATGTGAGGAAAGAGAACGAAAGGGAAAGGTTGTGGCGACTGCTTAGTGGAGCTGTGTACTCAATTGGTCAATGCTAAGCCTTTACTGACTAGGCAGTCACAATAGGGGTGACAAAAGTAAACTCTACTTCAACTAGGCTGAAAACCGCGAGAACTGCTTCCAGTAGTCGCGATTCTCACCTATTCGGATACACATGTAGGTAGTAATACCATAGTTGGAAGATTAATAAAATAATAATGCAAAACCACAGCTTGGCGTGGGATGTGCATAACTTTTGCGCACTTTTCAGACTTGTTTTCATTACAATACTGCCGTAGGATTCATTATGAAATAATATAAGCATAACATTTCATTAAGAATAAGTTATTAAAGAAAACTTTTTCAAGGTCACGCCACTCTCTACGTAGTAACAGGGAATCTACAAATTGGCTGGAAGAAGAAGAGATACGATCAACAGTCTATTTTACATGCAGCCTTTTGCTCGAAAGTCACGTTCATTGTATTCGTTCACACGACATTCGTGTGTGCCGGCATTAAGGTCCTTTAATTCTGTCTTTTTTTTTTTTTTTTTTTTTATTTTACGCTCAATATTTTCTAAAGTATTTAATATAGTTAAAGTTTAATTTTAAGTTAATTTAAACAACATGTTGTCGTTATATATTTCACTTGCAACCTTTCGTTAAGTAGACCGTACCGCAGATACGTGCTTGACAAGACTTAAAAATAAAAAAAAAAAGTAAAAAATCCTACAATATTCATAAAACGTGCCGGTACCCATACAGGTCTACGTACATGTACGTGTATGTAGACATCAACTAAAAACAAGCAACCGTTTTACTAACCAACTAAACGACCACCAGCGGCAACAGTCATGTTGTTCAACGTAAAATGCATGTAACAATTTTTACTAAATACGGCCGCAAAAGGTTTCAAAGTTAAACACATCAGTTAATGTGCAAAGGGAGCGTAAAGGCGTAGGAAAATTTTCAAAAACAAACGAAAAAGCAAAAACAAAAAAAAAAAACATCTCATCATCACTACCATCATCTCCTCCCGCGTGCATAAAAGTGCAATGAGAGTAAGACATTCTCATATATATGAAAAAACAAAAAAAAAAACAAAAACAAAAATTGTAGCATATTAGAAAAGTTTTACTCGGTTGTGCTTTGGAAAAGTATTTTTCTCCTTTGAGTTTTTTTTTAGGGGTTTCTCAAACTAAGGATGGAGATGCATAGCGCAAACAGAAAACCTCAGGAATTTAATAAATTTAAAAACACTTTATTTTATTTAATTTTCACATCCAGAGAGAGTTAAACGATGTGCTAATTTTCTCATTCCCTTTGCAACAAAATAACAAAGAGAAAAACGAATTATTGTTAAAATCGCTTCTTTTTTTTTTTTACCTATACATCTACTTATACTTGGTGATGATTTCAATACGCAATGCATCATAAGATAAAGCAAGCAAGGGCAGTATACTGAGCCATGGCCATTAAGCTTCCCTACACCTTCCTACACTTGACAACTTTTCTAAATAAAGCTTTATATGGGAAGTGATCGCAAAAGTGCTCCGATTCGATCCATTTTTCATAGCGTTCACCGTTGAACCTGTAGGTTGAGTACAAGAAAACAAAAGGGACGGGCCGACAGACAAGGTTAAGCCAATTCAGAATCACATTGATATATAAAAGTGTAATGAGTTAAGTCCTTTTGGCCGTTAAGTACATACGTACGAACTAATTTAATACGGAATCTAAAAAAAAATGAGCCATTTTTAATAGCGTTGCGCCTTGGAACGAAACATGTTAGTCAAAATATCTCAAAAATTGTGGACAAGGTGGACAGACGGACAGACGGACAGACAAACTTAGCAAAATCACTTTCTGAAGCAGGAAGTACAATAAAATGTGAGTGTTTCTCAAGTCCTTCCGGGTGCTCTGGATGTTGTATATGTCCGCACAAACTTACACTATTTGTACCACAAGTAAAAATTGGCCGTCCTTGTGCTAAAGGGTGTTGAATATTCAGTCCAACGCGAATATAATTTGTTTTATGAATTTTTATTATTTTTGCAATTAACTGACCTTCAATTTCTTAAATGGTTAAACCGCAAAGAAAATTGAATGCAATGAAATGAAATACATAATGATCTAAAGGCAAACCACAAAGTTTGAGCTGAGTAAAATGCTAAAAGGGAAAATAAAGTTAAATGCAAAAGGCTGAAAAAAGAGGTAAAATTTTTCAACAAAATATTAGAAAACTTTTAAAGAGCAAAGTTTACTGCGGCTTTTTTTTTTTTTTTTTTTTTGTATATATATATATACACATTTTTTAATGCTAGCGCGAACACGACAAAGTTGCGAATAAAACGAAAGCACCTTTTAATAATTATAACGGAACTATGACTCTATTCTATTTTGACATTGAAATTCAAGACTAGTCAAGGTCGTCATATAAATGAAATGCATCGTAGGCACATTTAATGGATTAGAGTAACATTTTTCTTGATTCCTTTTGTTATTCGCTTTTATTATTTAAATTATAAAGTTGATAAAGCTAAGTTGCGATGCGATTGCGATGATAAATGAAATTTGATTTTTCGGCAACTTTTCCAAACACTTTACCCAGTAATTTACTAAGGCTTCTAATGCTTACGACAAACTTGAGGTGGATTTTTATAGTGCTACGGCTTCTCTTGTTTGCGGCTGTTTTCGGAAATATTTTTATTGTCGCAAGCAAAAGTTGTGTTTTAGCAGTGCCATCAGCGGAAAGGTGCTTGCAAAAGTATTTTTTCCTACGTGTACAGGGCCTTTTTTCATATCCAATCTTTCTTCTAAACTCTTTATTGTTGTTATTAGTAGGGTCGCTTACCAGAAGACAGTAATAACATAGGAAAGCACTAATGCAAAATATTTTGAATGGCAAAAGTTATTGGTCATCACGGCTCTTCTTAGCTGGCTAGAGAATAAACTGCAAATTTTTATGCAAGTTTGGTGTGCTGGTAGCGAAAGCAGACTTCTTTTTGACAAAAGAATCATTCCTGCCCAAGGGAGCCAGAAGGAGCCATTCAGGAATCGTTATGTCGATGACATGCAGCATTTTAGTAAGTATTTTAGTAACCTCCTAAGTATCCAGCAGTGAATGTTGGCTTCACATAAGACAGAAAAATAAGGAATGGCTGCTTTATAAATTAGTAGAGAAGTTATGACTGTGCCGTTCGCATGATTGAATCTTACTTTGTTCATATAATGAAGTGAACGAGAATATGCCCATTCCGTCGTCTGTAGTGTTTACTTTTTTTTTTTTTTTTTTTGGTTTTAAGCTTACGAAGGATGAGGGAGGGAACTTAAAGGAAGAAGCGAGCTGAAGGGGTTGCAAAAAAAGGCAAACCTCTAAAAAATAAAAGACAAGGGCCTGACTGATGGAATAACTGGAAAATGTATTATATCGACTTAAGCGTCTGTGGCTGATTATGTTATTATAGAGAAACGAACTCAAAACAAGCAAAAAGGGGATGAGCAGAAAAATACAACAATAGGCGCCAGACTGATAGATGGACTGCCTGGAAGATTAGATTAAATTGATTCAGAATTCGGTTTTAAACCTGATAAGTATAATAGAAAGCGGCTGTATGTCGAATCCTCTAACTATTACACATTTATCCGCGTGAACTTAATAAACTAAAAGTATAATAAGTAGTGTAGACTATAAAAGGCCTGGGGAACGTATTCCCTCTCATGCTGCGGTATATAGTACTGCTGCTCACACTAACGTTTTATTCAATTATATTTTAAATTGAACACATTTCTTGCAGGGGTGAACTATTTGCCTCTATTAGATCATAGAAGTACCGAATTTCTCGCTTTTTCGAGGTTCGCTCTATACACGTAGTTGTTATGTTAAAAGTTCTTATTTTAAGAAGAGAACTGTATAATCAGTAAAGAGTAGTTAAAGGTTTTCTATCTATAATCTAGCGACGGATTTTTCTCTTCAATTGCCTAAGACAAGGATAGGAAGAGGACCCTCTTTCCTTTTTTGAAAAAAAAGGGCACTTTTCGTCTCCTCTATATAGTTGTAGGCTAGGAGTTTATAAAACTGCTCTCCAGTTAGTCGCGATGGCACTGCGAATGGCTACCGGATTGGGATACAGTGGGAGCTGGGCTGCATGTACTTTTGGGAAAGCACGGTACGCTGGATGGCCTTCGCAATCGTAAGGAAAGTTTAAAGATAAGCGGGGCTTCAGCTGCGTATACTTTGCTAATGCCCACAGCTATGTAGGCGTATGTTTATTTAATATATAACCTTTGGATGTTCACGGAGTTCAAAATACTGGGACCTGACTGATTGTTGGGTGCGGCCATTTGGCGAGCACCGTGGTGGTTGTGGTGGAAGCTCAACAATTGGCCTTTAAGCTGACAAGGCTGGCTAGAAAAACGGCTCACATTCATTTTCTTTGTCATTCCACTGCTTTCAGGACATTAGGGCTGCTTTCTATGGAGATTGCTCTACCTCCTCGCAGGCGCCGGTTACCGCTTGTCAAATTAACACATTTGGGGCGCCATAGAATTAAGCGCTCATGGCAGATACTTTTCGGTTAAATTGCATAGGCATCTGAACATATTTCTAAGATTTACCTATTTCCTGACGTAAGAGGACGAAGAATTTTAACTTAAAGTTTCAAGCTCGATACATTACTTGCTATGATATACAGGACGAGTACTTCAAATAAGACGAGTAAAATGAGTCCACAATCAAAGAAAAATTTTTGAACAATGAATTTTGTGAGCGCATTTTAAAAAATCTTTTGAAAAAAAAATAAAATCGCCCTATCCTTGACCGATGCGCTCAACTGCCAAATGTTTCGTGTTATAGCGAACTTATTTTGAAAAAAAAAAAAAAAAATTCAAAATTATTTTCAATAATCATGCAAAAAATGTGTTACAGGAAAAAAAAAAAACCTAAAATGCCGGCTCTTTACGATAGCACATAGTATGGTGGGAATAGTCCTTTGACAAAATTTGTAATGACAGAAAGAAAAAAAAAAACCGAAAATTCACTTAGGATTCATGACAGTGTAAAAAAATATTATTTACTTTTTGTTTATATATATATACATATATATATATATATATCTTTTGAAGTTTATACTTCCAATTATATTTTAATGAAGGTCGCACAACTTTGACGCACAGTCAGAGGAGATTTTTTGTTTTCATTTAATTTCATCATTAACTTGGATACGTTCATTAAAGAATACATGATAATCTCAAGTAATATTTTTTTCTGGTTCATCTTTTACGGACCGACAACATACGCGTATATTAATCATAAATTGTATGTATGTGTATAGAAGAAGAAGTTATTTTCATATAGAATAATGCGAACATATTTAATAATTTTTTTTTATTTTTATTTTTTTTTAATATTTTTTCAGATAGTAACGAGTACGAGAACAATTATGGTATAAAATATTTTACATTTCATTGAATGCACAAGTATAGTGAAACTATGTAAGTTATAGAAAAGGTTGTGGTTGATTTTTTCCGAACTATTTTTTTTTTTTTATTTTTTATTTTTTTGCTATTTAGAGAAAATAATAAAAAGAGAGAAAAAGTAAGCGCTACGTACAAGGACGTGCATGAACTCATCAGTACCATCGATGCATGCCTTCATCAACATCATCATCATCATCATCATCATTATCATCATCATCATTATTATCGTCGTTATCGCCATCATTAGTAACATCGCGACCATCATCAGAAGTCGGAGCAGCAGGAAATGTAGTAAAAATACTAAAAATATGTTCTAATGCAACGTTTGTAACATTTTAGAAGGTTTTTTTTAGTATGCTTTCCTTTTTTTCTCCTTTTAGGATAGAAAAACCCTAACCAATATGAGTGCAATTCGAGGGGACAGAGAAATTCCATTTACACACTTTTCAAATCATATGTGCTGGAAAATTTTCTAATATTGAAATTTTTTCTCCTTTTTTCACTTTTTTTTTTCTCTTTCTTCTATAATCATATCACATCATCAGAGGATAGGTATGCTAGTATTATCATTTCATTTGTAACACTTAAAAATCGCATAAGTAAATTTATCCAACCAATTGTCAATTTGCTATATGTTCCTCTTCTCGTAGAGGCGCTCAACGAAATAGAAATTTCGCAATTGCCAGAAAGGCATCTGCAGCAGAGTGTGAAAGATTGAATCGGAAGCCGCGATAGCAAGATTTAAACAAATGAAAAATCATCGACAAAAATTTATAAAATATTGTAAATTCATTTCATTAATAACAGTTCGCTGACACTCATCTATGAAAGTTTTTGTGCACTCGTGTATGCCTCACCCCAGGTGCTAAGTACCCAAGGCTCAACCCAAGGCGCATATAGCTCGCTTTCTCTCCTTTCTTTTTTTTTTTTTTTTTTTGCATTCATGAAGCGCCGTTCATAGCATTCTCAAAAAAAGAGGTCAGGAAAGTAACAAAATTGCAAACATACGCAGAGTGATTTTTTTCTTTCTTATTTTTTTTCTCTCTCTTTCTCCGTCTCTCTCTCTCTCTCTCTCTCTCTCTCTCTCTCTTTTGAAACCGTTTCGAAATGGTTTTCATTGTATAGTAGAAAATATACATAAATATATATAAAAGTTTTTTAAAAAGTTTAAAAGAAAAAAACAAAAAAAAGGAGTTAAACGAAGAGTAAAAGAAAAACTTGATTTTGTGTTTTTATATTTTGAAAAAAAGGAAAAACAAAACAAACAAAAAAAAAAGGATATTTAAATGTGTTAACATCACTTACCTATCTGCTTGCACTGCTGAACCAGAAGCCGGCTTTAGGCTTTTAATTGCTTTCAGCCACTTTGTTTTCATCGATGGCGCAGTGGCTGCGGAAAGTTTACGTTCGGCGCGCGGTGAACCCGGATCAACTTTGCTCACGAATAGTTCCTTCTGCAATTAGCAATAAAGACGTAAAACGAAAATCAACTTTTCTTCATAAACAATTAGCGGAGAATTTCACTTTTTAAACTTAATTAGTTGCAATTTTATGCAATGAGTGATTTAAATAGAAAAACTTTCATCTCTAAACATTCCATGTAGCCTATGACTTTCAGCACAGTCATTAACCGTTGATAGTCGGACAATTATTCCGTTTTGAATAAGATGTAAAATATAATAAATAAGAAAAATATTATTATCAGCTTAAACCGAATATTTTATTATAAGTCCGATGGGTTTCTACATTCTGCTCGAGTTATAGTACGGAGTATATTAAGCTTATAGCAATGCCAGTAGGACTTACAATAAACGCATTGTTTATAAGCCATATACGTCCGTCTATCCTATCTGATTATGTTTTTTATTTATTTTTTTTTATTTTTTATTTTTTTGTTCAACGTAATCAATTTATGAGATATCTTGACGAAACTTTATATAATTTACAGGGAGTGCTGATCACAGGGGAACACATTTGAGAGGGGATTAGATAAGAGCATTTTTATGGCATCCTATCTATTCCTTAAAGGTCTAGAAATGTTTTTATTTTTATTCTAAGCAGCTTTAGAGATATTTTGACGTTGTGTCCCAAGAACGCATCCCTCTAAAAGTTGATTAGATCAGACCATTTTACCGCCTCTCCACTTTATTTTTATCCAACACAAACCAACTTTTTTTGACATTGCTGTTCAAGGACGAATCCATCTGAAAGTGGATTGGATCCATTAGACCATTGTCATGATATGCACTCTGTCCCTCCAATATCTGATCAGGTTTTCTTTGTTTATCCAACCTAACCAGTTTTTGAGATATTTTGACAAAACTTAATATACTTCATGGGGTGTTTTCGCCAAAGCCGAACTTCTTTAAAAGTGAATCGGATCAGACTAATCTTGTGACATTATTTATATGACGCCTTACTTGAGAAACTCGATTATGTACAAAAAAGTGGTTTTCGAAATTTGCCGGCTAAATAGAAGTATTTTCTCGTATTAACGTGAGGTGAAAAGTTGTGCTCGGATAAGCTAGCTTTCTGGACCGTCCACCATATAAGCGAATTTTTAAATGAAAAACTTCCAATTCTAAATATTCGGTTATAAAATTAGTCTATAATTGACATGAAAACGAAGTGTACTAAATTTGGACTAGGTAAGTCTATTTTTTGGGTACAGCTTCTTGTAAGACTTCTCCTGGGAGAAGTCTTCTTTATATGGCAGGAAAGTTTTATTTTTAATATGACGAAACCAGCTAAGGAAGGTTAATTTTATTAAACTCAAACCAGATCAGTCCACGTTATCCCTGAAAGGCTCCCCAAGGTATAAGTTTTTACCATTTTCGCACATAAGTAAATGAAAAATTGCATTAAACAAAGTGGTGTAGAGTATATAAAGGTCGTCCTGCCCGCATGTAATGTTTTTAATTGCTTTCTAAACAAATACTTTTCAATTTTCAGTGCGATAATTACCACATGTCATGTACGTAGGAGTGTAATATGTAGTGTGTGAAGTGGACAAAACGACTTATATCCACGGTTGATCTCTAATTAACGGCTCATATAGAACCCAGAGGACGTCATTACGTAACTGTAAAGATTACTTTAATAAGACACTACACAAGTAATCGAAATTTCTTATATTTGCACTGGAACGCGTCTTTTTGTTTGATCCCAAGTTTTTTTGTTCACTTTCCCAAGTCATTACATCTGTAAGTTATGTAGTGAAGCATGATTTAAGTTACTGTGGTCGTAGATAACTTGCACGAATTTTAATTAATTGCAGCCGCTCTTGAAGAATATTTAAAATAACTGTTCCCCATATATGCTTAAAATAAACGATAAATAATAAAATAAGTTCCTGCATTATATAAGAGGACCATATACTCTCTCTCTCTCTTTCTCTCTCGAGATGTATAATTTTCAAATATTGCAAACACTTAATAAACCTAATAAGCTTTCTTTGGCGGCTTTTATAAAAAAACATTTAAGTTAAAATTTTAAAAGTGAACACAAATTGGTGAAAGAAAAAAAAAAGGAAACATAAAGAATAAGAGAGAATACAAGCACAAAAAAATAAAAATTTATAGTTTTTCTCACTCACTTGAACTCTACAAAGGGAAAAAATTAAATTAAATGTTAAAGAAGCGAATCGTCTTAGCTTAATGCATATAAATGCGCTCTGATAAGAAATGTAAAATAAAATTTAGTTAACTTTACAGCAAATTATTCATTTAACGTTTGAAATTAAAATATTAAGTAATTGCCTTGTTTGAATAGTGCAAGATAAAGGGAAATTTATGACCAGGTAATTGAAAGAACCTTGACTTTAGCACTAAATACAGCTTTATCTAGCGCCGTTTGTCAGCATGTGTAAGTGTAGGTTAGATGAATATACGACAGCAATCTATGAGTTGTGAAAGTTGTGGAGCTAATAAGCGAAATAGCGGAGTGTGTGAGAAAGTTCGCCATATTTATATATATTTCCCCTTCCAATAAAATTCATTTTTCAAAACTCTACATAAGTTAATTACGAATAAAATTTTATAGACGAATTACTTTCTCTGAAAAATATTTCAAGCGTAAGCTTTCGATATTGAAGATTCGAAAGTCTTCACCTTCGCTTTTGCTTCTTTCCAGAGGTGATCCTATCAATTTTTAAAAGCAAAATTTCCCCGAGAAAACTTTAAATGCGTTTGTGTATGTGAGTGTGTATATGTGAGTAATGACTAACGAGTCACGGAACCCTTACTTTGAAATTCGGTATTTTTCGGAAATTGTGCGCATTACATAATGATGCGAGCAAGAAGAAGGCCAGAAGAAAACTGCAAGAGACGTCCCAAAAATATATTGGGCGGCCATAAGTCAAACATCCAGGATATACTTTTTAAAAGAGAAACTGGTTTAGCAAAATTTACTTCAATACATTTTACATTATGCTGGCATCTATTTATTTATTCATTCATTTATTTTGACATGCAATTCAGCTACAATCAAATAAGAGCCGTACTCAGCTCGAGTAAGTTCTTAATAGTAAATCTTGAGCCAAACATTAAGATCAATTTTTATAAATAAGAAAATACGCTACACCATCTTACAGCTATTCATGTGACGCTTTTCCAAGGTAAAGCGTTGTATGAAAAACGTTCGAAAAAGTGTCTCGATCCGATTCATTTTCAATACGTTTCTTGAACAAGAACAAATTTTAGGAAAATATCTCAAAAATTGGGAACCGTACATTGAATTCAAGAAAACCAGACAGACAGATGGACGGACAAGTTTAAATCGACTCAAAAAAGAATTGTGAATCGATCAATCCTGAGTCACCCGAAAGATGGGCCTATCCACACACTTTCTGGATTTTCATGAAAAAAACAAGATGTACACCTCCTGCATGGCGACACACTCCCAGCCCGTATGGATCTAATCTAGGAATGAAATATTAAATTGTTTAAAATTGGTGAAAATATTAATTTTAATTTGTGAATCCTGGGAAGGTTTAAAAATCAGCAGTTAATTTAGACACGACATAGGCAAGACACGCATCTAAAACAAATTTGTTTTGATACGATCATCGATATTGAGAACTAACTAAAATATGGAAAAAATTGTGAACATTAAAGTTAATCCCTCCTAATAAAATCGGGGAGTTAAGAGTAGCGTTTATTATCTTAGTAAGAATGAAATGCCTAAGATAAACATGCTGTTCCCCAGTGAAGGTAAAGCTTGTGAGGGTCAAAATCGTTGGTTCCCCACGTACTATAAGCTAAAATAAGTACTGCAGGTATTTTCGTTACTAAATCTATCAGATAGAATTTAGGAATGATCAGCGCAAACTTTCATAGCAACGGGTAGTCTGGAAGATAGGGCAACCCTATTCGACCTCAGTCCAGTTGATCTCGTATGAAGATACTATAATCGCGGCTAAATTCGAACTTTTGCTTTTGAGTGGAAAAGGCAATCGTAGTTCGGAGACTTCTGCTTCCTCCCTTATGTGAAGCACGAACCTAGACAGAGATGCTTAAATTAAGTCCACAAAATTTAACAAGGACTCCTACGACATAATTATTCTAATGTATATCCACCGGTAGAACGATCGTAGGAAGGTTCAGCGCGGTTATGTAAACCTAGATTAAATATGAAATGTAAACTAATATTTATTACGATGGGTAGACGATAGATGTAAGCAAATCAAGGCCAGCACATAAGTAAAGTGAAGAATAAATAAATAAATTGTCGTTTCGCACGACGTCCGACCAGATCCCTATGAATCTGATAACGGTAAGTCAAAATTTTCAATAGGATCTCTGGAGTAAGTAAATAGTGTTGAGAGAAAGACTTGGCAAGGAGGCGAATTCATTGTCTCTCACAAGCGAAGAATAAATATTTCTTGAGCGATTTCTTCAATGAAAAGATGATTGAATCGTTAACTTGCATTTTCCATTTCCCGAAATGTATTTTATTCCTATCACAGATAATGTTTATGATTTTCTATTATAATGTATATAAATCGAATGAATAAGTAAACTTAACCTTGTTAATAATGCACAAATTTCTTCTTCTTCTCCTTTAAATGAAAATAATTTGAGAGCAATACTTTTGAAAACAAAAGAAACGCTTGTTGCACATCATTCTCGATGATACCATTATATGAAAAATAACTCAAAATTTATTAATTAAATGTAAAAGTTTCAAATACACCGAACAACCACAACAACAAGTTGAATGAAATTCTTAATAAAAGCGAAGTCAACCATGCGTTGGTAACCGTAACACAATTAGTTCTTAGTTGCATATCATTTGTAGATTCATTGAAAAGATGAAAACAATACATTGAGTTAATTTCAATTTTATGCAATGTCTCTGATGGGTATAAAAAATTCAGATTTAGAAATATTTTCATTCAAAAAATGAAAATAATTCAGAACTTGAAGAAGAAGTTATTGAAGCGTAGATACAGTTT